TCTTTTATTCATACCTTTCATACGAAATGAAAGTCCAAGCAATAATGTTATTTTGGGATATTCATAGGCTACAGTTGAATGTGATTCGGCCGTCCTCTTATGGTGGAATCGACTTCCAAATCTTTTATTCATACCTTTCATACGAAATGAAAGTCCAAGCAATAATGTTATTTTGGGAGATTCATAGACTGCAGTTGAATGTGATTCAGCCGTCCTCTCATGTTGGGATCAACTTTCAAATCTTTTATTCATACCCTTTCATACTGAATAAAAGTCCAAGCAATAATGTTATTTTAGGAGATTCATACACTGCAGTCCAATTTGATTCATCCGTACTCTTCAGGTGGGATCGACTTTCGAATATTTTATTCATACTCTTTCATAGGAAATGAAAGCCCAAGCGATAATGTTATTTTGCGGGATTTATAGGCTGCAGTTAAATGTGATTCATCCGTCCTTTTCTAGTGAGATCGACCTTTGAATATTTTATTCATACCCTTTCATAGGAAATGAAAGTCCAGGTGATAATCTTATTTTAGGAGAATTATCGCAACCCAGTTACTCTTCACATCTACAATGTACGTATGGTTCGATTTTTTGTGAACTATTTTCTAGGTACACTAAAACCAAAAAATTTATATCCCGAATTAGGTTTTTATAAATTTATATCTTTCATATTTTTGCTTTCTTGGTACACGCTGATATTTACAGACTTCCCACAATAGAGTACTTGATCGGGTATGGCATGCTTTGGTTAAAACTAGACTCAATTAAAGCATCACAAACAAATGCAGTACAACGTGATTCAACCGTCCTCTTCCGGTGAGATCGACCTTTGAATCTCTTCTTCATACACTTTCATGAGTAATGAAAGTCCAAGCGATAAAGTTATTTTGAGAGATTCATCGAAACCCATTTACTCTTCATAAACGGTATCAATTAATTGCGACTTGGTGTGCATCTCTGGTGTATTGCTGCCTTCATTTAAACTACTTTTTTCACATCGCCGTAGGGATTAAAAGCCATCTTAGTTGGAATTAAGCTCCAACATTTTTTCCCTCTCAACTGCGAACACAAATTAATCTTATCCCATTTCAATCATTTAATTCTTTGTCCAATTCCTGTATTTTCCATAAAGTCATTTTCTTGCTAAAATCACTCAATTTCGATATTTTGGTAGATCTTCGAGATTGAGTCGGTTTCATACGGCGTTTGCCTAGCTTGCGGAATTCTTCAACTCCTTTCAATTGTCATTTCTCAGCTTCGAGTTGCATTGAATTTTGAGCAATTCAAGCGCATTTGTTAGTTTGAGAATAATGTTTATTTGATTATTCCACCTCAAATCTCCCTTTTCACACATACCATCTCCACATTGCACTCGCATTACCTTCCTTTGCATGTTCCCCAAGCGTCCTAAATGTCTCGCATCTCCTCTCTGGCGCGCATTAATCTCCCATTCACACTCTCACGTGAAACCGCCAACTCTGCCGATTCGCTTGTACCCTTTGAGTCAGGAATATCCTTGTTTCCAACCTCCTCCCGGCCTCATGTCCGCCTCGGTTCTACTCCCTTCGGTCATTCTGCGATCGGATCGTCTTCCGAAACACCCGCTGCCCGGCGCCAGGATCAGACGAGCCGAGCTGGCTGCTCGTGCGTCAACTGGTTCTGCCGATTGTACCTGCTCTTCCCACGACCGGGCGCTTCTTCATCGACACATTCGTCGTCCGGCAACTGGAGACATTCAATCGGCTCTTTATCATTTTGCATTAGACCTTCTCTTCGGTACTCTTTCTCACCAACCTCGTACTTCACTCATGCTCGACCTTGGCTCGGGACGAGCTTGTCGACTGGACCATCTTGCTGCACGGTTTGGTACCTTCTATGACCGTTTTTCGATTAATGCTGACCTTTTTCCACTTGCCAACGCCGAAGAAGAAGCTCTACCCTCCGGCTCGACCGGTTCAGACGGACTGTCAAATCGGGTATCCTGTGACCTTGTTGGCTGTAGATTTCCTTTTCGGGCTGGCCAATTCGACAATGTCATATCAATCAGTTTCCTTCAGTGGCTCTTCGCAAATGTCTCCTCTTCAGCTTCATCTCGCAACGACGTCTTGACAAATTTCGCTTCTCAACTGGCCAGCATTCTAGTCCCTCGGTCCGGATCACGACCGGACTCGAACGGTTCATGTCGCCTACAGAAGAACACTTCTACAAATCATGACGCAAAATGTCGTGTTGCAGACGTACAGCCAACCAATCTACAGACAGAGCCCTACGGCGGTCAGGCTTTGATTCAGCTCTACCCAACTTGTC